GTGGAGAAGAATTTAAGAGACCTGTTAGCAAATGTATCAGTTAGGACAAACTAGCCTTTCCTGTAGCAACAAATAACTCCTAAGTCTGAGTGACTGAACATGACAACATCTATTTTTGCTCATATAGTATGTCAACATAGGTTAGTAAGGATGCTCTTCTAGTTTCTCAGAAACCCAGGTGTCAAGGACTATAAAGGGACTGAGACTTCACCCTACTTGAAAGCATAGAAATGCTGGTGTATTTCCTTAGTCATAGCAGTGCAGTAGCCAGTTTCAGCATTTGTGTCAGTTTCTCCAACCCCAGTTCCACAGGGAGATGGGAACAGTGCCAAGTGATACCTACACCAAGTGGTTGTGTTACAGAAAAATCCTGCACTTAGGGAACCCAGATCTTTTGTAATGGGCAGTAAGCATGCCTTACTTTTGCTATCTTTCTAGGCTGTAAGCAAAAGTGCTCTTTGCTCCAGAGGAAGACATCATCTCTGTCTTCCTAGATTTTTCACTATATAAACATCCTTAAAAGGACAGTTAACAAAGCCAATCAATACTTTTGCTTGTAATATGTGCAGAAATGTGAGAACCCCATGGAGAATTGTCTCCTAATACCAGTTGCTGGAGGTTCCAACATCCTGTGGCCCTCCATTTAAACATATAGCTTCCAGGGTTGTTAAGACAGGGGAAGAGAGGCCTGGAGGGTGACACAGGGGCTTTTCACTGACTCAGCCCCAAAGTGCATATTATCACTTCTGCCTTCAGTCTATTGGGCAGACCTCACCTAACTGCATCTAGGCTGGGATGTGCTTATCCATATGCTTAGGTACAAGAAGACCAAATATTATAGACACTAGAATGTCTACCAAAGCATGGTTATATTATTTGTCTAGTACCATTTACGTTTATGATGCATAATTGAAGCATAGCATTTGGGTTATATCTCAGAATTGGGATTCTGACCAACTTGTATAATGGGGAAAAGAGTGCTGAGGAGGAGTGTTTTGCATAGATGATTTCATAGATGGACCATGTGCATGGTCTGAATGTGTTCCCAAAATTGATGTGTTGAAACTTGATGGCTAATGTGATGGTATTAAGAAGTGTGCCTTTGGAGGTAATTGAGTGAGTACGAGGGCTCTAGCCCATGAATGGGATTAGGTGCCTTATAACGGTTTGATGGAGGGAGTTTGCCCATTTTCACCCGTGCCTTCTACCATGTGAGAACATGGCATTTCTTTCCTCTGGAGGATGCAGCAGCAAGGTGCCATCTTGGAAGCAAAGAGAGGCTGACCAGATAACTGAACCTGCTGGTGTTAGGGACCGACCTTCATAGCCCCACCGGACAGAAAAGCAGAGACATTGAGGATGCAATCACACAAGAGGAGGTTTATTTTCTGGCTAGCCAGGGTCCAAGCCCAGAGCACCAACGCAGTGGCCACTCTCGCAGGCAAGGACCCAACCGGAACAAAGGCATGCCTTTTATCCCATGGTGTCACAAGCTGCGCCAAGCCGACTACGCATGGATCATGCATTGACCTTTAAAATGATTGGTTGCCACACTATGCCTTTTGAAATAATTGGCGGTTGGTTGCCCTCTATTGCCTGATGGCCCAGTCGCCCGTGCTTCAATGACTCATCCCATAATCCCATACAGCGTGTAGCAAGCAGCAATGACCAGAAGCAAAGGTTGGT